CTACACAAACACACACAAAGACTGGCTTCAACCCTACCTTTACGCCATGGCCTACGTCATCCAGCAGACTGAAGTCAATGGGCTTACGGATGTAGCGTACAGGCCTCTCAGGATTGGCTGGTGCAATGATCTTATGTGTGCGGGAAGTGTTCTTATTGGTGGTGAGGATGCCAATTTCTCGCCTGGCTACCTTCTCTTTATGGATGTCCACCGTCTGTGGAGGAATGATGAAATGTGATTTGATGTATGCAGAAATGTACACAGAAACACATCAAAATACAGGTTTGAAAGTCAAGAAGAGTCTAAAAGTAGGACATGAATCGTGCAAGCAGTCTGTAGAAGGGAGTTCAACCATTTAATATCAAATCTAATTTGATTAATATAAAAGTAGCGCTGTGTGTCAAAGTTTAGTACTTAGGGTTATTGATTTGAGTTCACCTTTTACTTTAAGTATGAACAATATTAATAGTGATGCTTGCCTTAGAAATGTAAGTGAAAGAAGCAAAATTGCAATGTACAATGTATCCACACTACTAGATGTTTGTTATAGCAGTAAAAAGCACCTGTGAGATGTGGTTGATGGACGACTCCATGCGGCGTAGCTGAGACGCCTGTATATCCAGCATCTGAAGCACATTGTTGGCGAGAGTGTTGATCAGATACGCTACGCTGGCCAAAGACTGAGTGGTGTAGCTTTTGGTTTCTTCTAGAGCTCTGTGTTTATCTGGAGACTAGATGGAGAGAGAGAGAGAGTGTTTATCTCAGCACAGAAGGATGAATAGAGGTGAAAGAGAACATGATATTGACTCGTGGCCTAATTTCTGTTCCCTCATTTACACTCCCTGTTAGGAGTGTGCCATACGTATCATCTACTATAATATTATTGTTTTAACGGTGTGCGAGCTGACATTGAGTTTGTCTTGAGAATGCATGCTTGCATTTTGTTATGTAACCTATTAGAACGCCCCCAAAATTCAAGATATGGAGGCAAGAAATGCCCAGCTTCTGTCTTTATTTATATAATATGATACAGTTAAGCAATATCACATGCAAGAGTGCCGTTTTCCCAATATCAGCATTATTGCAAATGTGACTGATTTTATCCAACAGCTGAATAAACAAGTTAAAGAATAGTTCACCCAAAAATTGAAATTGTCAGCATTTACTCACTCGTCGTTGAACCAAACCTATATGAGTTTTTTTCTTATGTTAAACACAAAAGAAGATATTCTGAAGAATGCTGGTAATCAAACAGTTTATGGTCCCCATTGACTTCCATAGTATTTTTTTCCTTACTGTGGAAGTCAATGGGGACCAACAACAATTCTTTAAAACATCTTTTGTCTTCAACATAAGAGACTTATACAGGTTTGGAAGGACATGAGAGTGCGTAAATGATGACAATTTTTTTCAATTTTGAGTGAAATATTCGTTTAATATTAGGTGATATACATTTTAGACACAATATTGCCAATATTGTCTTTCATCAATGAAAACAGTTTCGAACTAAGCCACAGAAGAACTGTTGCACGTCTCCGAAGAGTCCGAACGAATCTGTGTTTTTGAATGAATCTAGTGAGTCAATGATTCAATGACCAGTTCATAAATGCAGTCACTTAATTTTGTTCCTGAATGAATGAATCAGTCATTTGAACAAATCTGTTAAATAAACGACTCAATGACTCGTTTAAGACAGTGACTTGCCATCACTTGCTTCTGGTTTTAACTTCGTTTAAAGAACTATGCCTATTTCATACAAAAAAAACAACAACAAAACTATTCAATATTCACTGAAATATATTATATATATATATATATATATATATATATATATAAAAATATGCAGTACCTCTTAAATCTAATTTACAGTCATGATTTTAGATGTAATGTGACAGATTACAATGCAAAACATGCAAGAACCAAGGGTGCTTTGGAGTCAATAATTGCCATCACTTGCTTCTGGTTTTAACTTCGTTTAAAGAACTATGCCTATTTCATACAAAAAAAACAACAACAAAACTATTCAATATTCACTGAAATATATATATATAAATATGCAGTACCTCTTAAATCTAATTTACAGTCATGATTTTAGATGTAATGTGACAGATTACAATGCAAAACATGCAAGAACCAAGGGTGCTTTGGAGTCAATACTAAAAGGTACATTAACTTTAATTCAACACAAGCAAAAGAGATTTGTGAGCTCCAGCTCAGATTTTCAGGGAATAACAGTTTACTTTTTTTTTTTCTTTGTGCAAAACTGCCATACAGCGTTCGAAGACTTGAAATGCTCACAAGTCCTAGTTCTACTTTCATGATAGTTTTATCTACTCCGTTTTCAATATATGGATATTATTTAGCCATTTGGTGTGCTACTGAAGAAAGACAATCATACAAGGTTTGAATGTCAAGATGAGGTGATAAAACTATATGAAATATCATTGCACTGTCAGCTCGAGATAAAAACCTTCTTTTGTCATTAACGCTTTGAGAAAAACATCAGAGCCTGTTTCATTCAATAAAACACTAGAAATCCAAAACACAAACTTTTCGATCCATGACCATGACATGTGCAAAATAATGCAATCTATTAACATGGCCTTTCCAAAACAAACAACAAATGTGATCAGGCTTATTTACTCAAAAAACATCATGACATTCACTAACATATCTGTATGCAATATGCATGAATTGAAGAAGTGGGAAATATTGGGTTACATGCTAAACTAAAACCAGACCACATACCACATGCAAGCAAGTCTCATATCAACCCGAGCTACAAGCTGCCATGGAAAGAAATCCAAGCTCGGTCACATGAAGTTATTTATGGTATTTCTGAACCTGCGGTGACAAAGCTATGAAGTGAGAAAAATACCATGATCGCTCACAACCAGCAGACTTTATTTACAGATAACATAAAACACATTTATAGAGCATCTCTGTGTGTTCTGCATGATTCATGAGGGCCTGAATCAGATCAAATCACAAAGCAAACCCTGTTTAACATCTTTACAACTGTGAGCTCTCATTCTTAAACTCTAACCCTATGGCTTTGCGCATTAACAGGCCGGCAAACGCTAGTCAAATATGCAATATTTATCAGGAACACATCAGGACTCAAAAGTACTGGAATCAGCACCCACAGAGAACAAACCCATATCCAGTGACATCCAGTCACTGATCTGCCGGTGTCCATGTGACATGCTCTGTATTTTTGGAGCAATAAATGTCAAGAGTTTTGATTTCTGATGCTCTATTTCTGAGGGATGACAAACACTAAACAGAAGTGCAGGATCCTTACACACCCACTTCTGTGGATCCCCCAGGAATGCTGAAAATAACATGAATTTAGTCATTCCTTTTTTCGTTCCAGAAGCACTTCACTAATTCCACAGTAAATCATCCAACTCACGTTAGCAGGGAGAAAAACTGCATTTACCATAGTTCTTGCATAGTAGCTTTGGTATTTGTGTAATATCATAGTAAGCAGGCACTGCTTTACCATGGTTAGACCAACATAACTAACAAACAAACAAACAAACGGTATTTGCAGACAGCTACCATATTTGTAATAAAAAATAAGCAGATACCACAGTTAATCATTTAAATCATAGTAAAATCTTTTTCGAAAACGCATAATGATTAAACGCGATAGTGCCACAATACTTAAACAGAAAACTATCACTTATACACGTATTCCCTCTAGACCGGCATAAACTCACGCAAACACCACCATAATAATTTCAAACTAGTAGAAACACTAACATTAATAGATAACTACACTAAAAAGCTAATTTATCAAATAAAAAGAGTCCATAAGCCCCCAGCATTTAGCAGCAGAGCTAACTTCAAAAACACTGCGCTGCTTTGATTAAAATATCTTCACAAACGCTATTACTGATTAATACACCACTTTAGATCATATCACTCTGTTTTAATTAAGCATAAACATAAACAGTTTTTTGATGTGATAACATTGAGGTTTAACTACACATAGGTTTCGCTTCGGCTAGCTAGTGCGTTAGCCTACTAGCTCAGCGTTTGAGGCTCCATTTATGTACAAAACCACTGAAGATAGACAACAGAACGCCTAATAAAGTGTGTTAAGTGTTGAATTAACTCAACGGTTTAACTCTAGGGGAGTTGGAAAATTAGCCTATTTTCAAAAATAGTGGAGTGTTCCTTTAAAGGTAAACACTATCTTTAAATTAAGCAATAACAGCTAATCAAGCTAATATTTCTTATTTTAATTAATTCCCTTAACAACTAGCCTTTTTAGGTTTCCATGGTCTTGGAAAACCTAAGGAATTTTAAAAGTTATTGAAGTTTCTATACTGATTATACATTTTTTGTTATGTTGAGATTTTTTATATTTTATCGTATAGAAATTGATTAAAAAGTAATGTAACTTAATTGCTCATTAAGAGTGTGAACTCTTTTAATATATAGCCAGCCAATCCTAGTTTATGTAAATTAAGAGTTTGAAAACAAGCAGCCTTCTCATTACACCAGAAATATCTTCCCCTATTAGGGGCCTATAAACATCATCTCTCAAAGTCTCTTACAATCAAAAGAAAGATCACTCAGCAGACATATTTGCATCACCTCCAGCCTACAACTCCCATCTACTTAAATGGAGAAAAATCTGACATTACCTGTCCCTTACCGGTTTCTAGAATTATTTACAAAGCAGGACTTATTTTGCCATAATGCGTGTTACAATTTCTTTCAAAGAGCCCCATAAAAGTAGTTCATATGAGTCCTATTGACCAGTGATGCTCAACCACTTTTAATTCCACGGCCCTCATTGTCCACGACAATATTAAAGACTGTATATACTAAGGTGGTTTTGGAGCCTGACGGACCCCATTCCCATTTGCTGTATGAAGTAGAGCAGTCTGAACATTTTGCTAAACATCTCCTTTTGTGTTCCACAGAAAAAAGAAGTTCATACAGGTTTGGAAGGACACAAGTGTGAATAATTGATAAACTTATGGTTATTTATTAAAGATAATATCTGAATTTCTCTCATTGTACCTTAGTTCAGGGCAGGCCTGGCTCCCTGAAAACCCAAGCAGCGAGAAGCTCTTCATTACTGACTCATCAGCAAATCTGTCAGGATTAAATCTGTCAAAGTAGACAAACAAGTGAGAATACCAGCAAACCATGAACCTTACACAACCTTATATAAAATGAATATACACAAACAAACCTGTATGGAAGTGACCAAGTATCTGCATCTTGAAGGACGACGCCCAGGGCATAGATAACCAATGTCTACAAACATACAAGCAGCATTATTTTTAACATTATAGGCAAGTCACAACACTCTCCATACTGACTAGACTAAATATAATTAGAAGTATATGAAAGCATAATTTGCAAAAAAACAAACAAAAGAAAAACAAACATGCAAGTGGCTAAGGATATTTTAGAAGTCTGTGAATGACTGAATTAAACCTGCAAAGCTTTTTAAGTCTTTATGTGGGCCTAGTAATGAAAAAGTCTAGTTCTTACTTCTTTGGGAATGACATGTTGGTCCACCTTCCCCTCCACCTCCTGTAATCTGGTAGCCATGGGAGTCAGTTTGGCTGTGCGGACTGTTTCATTCAGCACCTGCTGGCAGTATCTGGAGGAAAACGTGAACCAGAATGATGATTTCCAGACAAAGTGATGGCCATGTGGAATAAAGTTTAACTCGAGTATTTTATTGAAATCACAGAATTGCCACACATATGCCCTCTGGTGGCCAGAATGCACAGAGAAAAGAAAAACCTAGGAGCATATACATATAAAAAAAAACAAGCATATTGTAAACTCATATCTCTGGACCAAATCAGCTCTTTTTTAGAGCTTTAAAATGTTACTACTATACTATCAGTACTAATAATTCCTTCATGTTTAAACCTTTTTCACATAAGGGTCGCTTGATTTAGCATCTTGCAAATCAATAAATGTGAATACCATATGGATATTATTGACAGAATCATATCAGAAGCTATGACTGTTGCTCACCTAAGTTGTGGAATCTTCTCCAAGGTAACAGGCTCCTCTCCAAGCACTTCAACAAGCTCATGATAGAGCCGTTCCTGCACTGCTTCTGAGACTGATAGGAAGTGAACTGCCCAGATGCACACTGGGAAATAATACAGACGAGAACAGGCATAAATTATGTATAAGAATAACAGGAATACAGACATGAAGGTAAAAAAAGAAAAGCTCCACAGTGTTATCATTAACTAAAACTATTAAAAAACATTTTTGTTAATTGAAGCTTAAATAAAATAAAACGTAAATATTATATTAAATACGTAAATTAAATGAAATTTAGAAAAGTTTAAGTTGAAGCTCTAAAGTTAATAACTGAAAACAATATTAATAAATATATTACACCTAAATAGTAATAAACTAAACACATAAATTACTTAATATTAAACTAAAACTAAATTATAAATATAAAAATAAAAGCTAATGTTAACATGTCAATAAAACTATAATACTATACAACACTAAAATAACACTGAAGCTACATCAAACAACTAGAAAGGAGAAATGGAAACTTACAGTTAGCAGTGATCACACAGCCAGCTAGAGTAAAAACCATACCATCTTCCATCACCTGAGGACAAAAAAATTATAGTTTGTTTATAATTTATGCATAAATCTTACTATCTCAATTTGAAAATGAACCATACTGTGTTGAGATGATGTTACCTGTCGCTCTGTCAGATTGGCTTGTAGTAAATAGTTAACGAAAGATGACTGACTGGATCCTTGTCCACTGCTCTGCTTTGCCACAGACTTCAGCACCGACTCCATCTCAGCCAGAGCTGAAAATAACAAAACCACATGATCAACTGACATTGAACAATAAGGCCAACACTTTCAAACGCTGCTCAGCTGCCTTCTTACCGCTCTCATAATGGGTCTTTCTGCTGGAACTCTTCTCTAGGGATCCATCCAGATAACCTTTACCAATCTCTGACCAGACCTAACCAAATCCAGATATATATGCATTTTCATGTAAAATACCATTTTTTTTATTAATAATAATAATAATAATTTTCATAAGCATGACATTAAATATACCTAGTGAGGAATGCTCACCGCTTCATGGTTCTTACGGAACCGGATGACCTCAGCATCATCCCGAAAACGGCTCCCCATGGCAAGCTGAGTGACAGCCTTCATAGCCAATCCAAGCAGATGAGCACAAAGAGGCGTGTGCTGTGATTTAGGATAAGATGCCCACTTATCAACCAGCTCCTCCACCAGCTAAAACAAAGGCAGAGTAGTAAGAGAGGGATAACATGTTTAAAAATAGGGACTGTTCAGTATATTCAGTACTGTTGATTATATGAACAAAATCATATCACCTATGGTTTACTATCAAAAAGAATTCAAGAACTTTAGTTTAAGGCAGATATCACTGGGTTAGTCAAATTAACGCAATGAAGAGAACAACTTTGTTGTTGTTGTTAGGCCTAATAGTGAAATCCTGAACTAGGATATATCTAAACACTCGTGAACAGACCTGAAGCAATAGAGGGAAGTTGTTCTCCAGGGTTTTATTGATAGCTCCCTCATACACTTTTTTTCTTATCATCGACTCCGTCACTCCCGCTCCTGAACCTGACTGGTAACCTAGCAATGACTTGAGCATTGTCTCAAAGGAATCCGCTGAGGAAAGGGTACAAACATATGTGCTAGAAAGTTTTTTCGTGATGCTTATAAAATGCCAAAACATTTGGTATGGCAATAAATAAGATACTTTACACACTACCATCCAAATGTTTGGGTAAGAAATATAGACTGTATAAAAACAGGTAAGAAGGTTTTTTTTTTTTTTTATGATCAAAAGTAAAAAATAATGACATGTCTAATGTTACAAAAAAGGTTTCTGTTTCCAGAAACAATGACTTCTGAAGGGACTTGTGACAGAGGCCGGGGGAAAAAAGTTGTTTTAAATTGAAAAAAAGATATTACTCATATCACTATTACTCTTTTTACTGTTTTAGTGAGCAAATAAATGCAGCATGGGTGAGAAAAGACACTTCTTTCAAAAATCTTACTGACCTCACACCTTTTGAAAGGTAGTGTATCATGAGACAAATAAATAACAAATTAATCATAATATCATACGTAATTTTATGATCAAATATTAACACGTAATTTATCAAGAGGAGCTTTGTCAAAACACTTCTCTTCTCCCTTGGTGCAGGCCACTCACTCGTCCAGTTGGGGTTGATGTGTTGTCGTAGTCGGTCCACAGCACCCAGGCTGACCACTGGTCTCCGACCGAACCAGAAAGATGCCACAGACCCAAACTCCTCATGAAGACCCACCAGGAACTCATGCAGGCTTCCTTTGTTCACTATATCTGGCAGATTCCCATCTCTGGAAAAGTAAAGCAAGACGTTTGTTGGAGAAACTGAGTAAAGGTCATAGGAAATAAAGAGAGGACAGTATCTCAAACTCTTACTTCTCTTCTGTGGGGTTTAGTCCTGGCACACCAGAGGCACTTCTAGATGACTGACATTAAAATAAAATAAAAACGTAGGGTTAATATACACACATTTGAAATATTAAAGTCCCTTGACAGCAAATTATAGCAGTTTTAATGGCTGACTTTCTTTTACATATATTCAACGTTTAATCAAGACAGAAAATGCATTCTCAAAAATAAGAAAACTCCATAGTCCAGTGATGACCTTCTAAATGCAGCAGGTCAGAATTTAAACCAAACATATTTAATAGCGATTCAAACATATACTTCTTATAAAACATGATCACAACAACTACAAAACAGTTAAGATAATATTTATATTTTTCACCGGATACAAATACAGGACGGCACCGATCAGGATAATGACAAATGTCACTGCAAATATAGCAAAATCCAGCATATTTGCTTTTCAGAAACGTCTGAGGATCGTCATAAATGTAATTAAACAGTTCACTGAACTAGAAGCTAACAATCCACGTCTACAGCGACCATCAGAGACCTGCGCCCCTGTACATCGGTACTCAACTACACATCCTGTGGACGAGGCTAAACCAATCCATCGCAGAGAATTGTTGTTTAGGGATATTTATTTGAAGATATTTTTTTAACCAACACATCTTCCATGATTTTTTTGTACCCACATATACCTGATAAGGTTAATATAAGTATATCAATCTTTATTGTCCGTCCTTTATTACATATATTTTTGCAATATTGGTTTATTTTAATTATAAATAACGTTCGTCGTTTTTTTACCACATGAGTTTGTTTATAATCAAGGGGGCGGAGCTAAAGATAATTAGGCTCGTTATGAACTCTTTAAATGTGACACACAGGAAAAAGTAGCTACTTAGCGAAAGTAAGCCGCAAAATGTCAGTAATGACAGCATTAATTGCGTTTACGCTTAGTGTATATTCGAGCAAAGCTCGGGATCCGCAGTCTCGCTGGCAGACGCCGCAGTACCAGGCCGGTGGTTCATCACTCTCGCCGGCTCTGAAGGAGTTTCCCCCGCAGCAGAGGGTTCCGCTTTCGCCGGAGTTGAGTCAGAGGAGCTCGTCTTTCTCCGGCTCTCAGCGCTGTGTGCTGGAGCAGTATGAACGCATCGAGTGTGGAGAGGCTGGCATCGCTTCAGATGAATGTGAGGATATCAGCTGCTGTTATGATGCGCAGGGCTGTTTCTATGGCAAGGCAGGTGAGCGTGAGAAATTCATCCTATTTAGGCTAGTACTTTTAATCTCTCCCAATATGTATGACAGAAGTTTCTCATGCTGTAAAAACAGTAATACTGTAGAAATATTATTACAAATAAACTAAATATATTGATGGCAAAACTGATTTTGTTTTGTTTCTTTAGCAGCCAGTCTTCAGTATGACATTATTCTTCAGAAATCATTGTAATATGCTCTATTTGGTGCTCAATTAACATTTCTTGTTGTTATCAATGTTGAAAACAGTTGCTGCCTAATATTTCGTGGTAACTGTGATACACTACCATTTAAGCTTTGAGTAAATATACACACACAGTGGGAACGGAAAGTATTCAGACCCCCTTAAATTTTTCACTCTTTGTTATATTGCAGCCATTTGCTGAAATCATTTAAGTTAGTTTTTTTTTTTTTTTTCCCCCCCGTTTCTTCCAGTCACTCTGCAGTGCACGAGAGATGGGCAGTTTGTATTGGTGGTTGCTCGAGATGCCACCATGCCGCACATCAGTTTAGACTCCATCCACATGCTGGAGAATGACCCCAGTGACCTCTGCGCTCCTGTCGGCAGCACTGCCAGCTTTGCCATCTATCAGTTTACTGTCAGCTCCTGTGGCACCAGAATGAAGGTGGGTATGAATGGTGGGAGAGTTTTAGTTTACCCTATGGTCACTATTCTTTGTCCTCCATTATATCCTTCAGGAAGAAAGGGGTTTTGTTATTTATGAGAACATGATGTCTTCCGCGTATGAAGTGGGCGTTGGACCTCGTGGATCAATTACAAGAGACAGTTCTTATGAGTGAGGAGGCACGTCTGTTTTTATGTTGAAGTTTTTGGTATGATCGGTGGAAGGGGGCCCAGTATTTCCTGTCTGTGTCTTGAAGGCTGAAGTTCCAGTGCAGGTATTCGGGATCAGCTGTAGAGGCTCTGGTGGTGGAGGTGAATACAGTTCCTCCTCCTCCCCCTGTCTCTCAGAACGGTCCACTCCGAGTGGAGCTCAGGCTCGCCGATGGACAGTGCAGCACTAAAGGATGCTCTGATGGTGAGCAGAAGGCCTCTTCATTGGCTTTATTTAAATCGTCTCTTAAAAATTTTTTCCTTGGCCTTTGACACCTGATGTCGATATCTGGTTATTTATTTTAGTTTTTCTATGGTCTCTTAATGTGTTTTAGTTGTATTTTATGTCTTGTATGAGTTTTATTTTTCTGTACATCACTTTGGTGTTTTTAAAGTGCCTTATAAATAAAGTTTGATTGATTGAAATGTGGCTTACATAGTAAACTGGATGAGTTTTATTATTTCATTTAAGCACGTTTTGCCAAGTCATCCTGAAATGTTCCTGGTCAAACGAGAACAAGTCCCAAAAAAATCTAGAAATTTGACTGTTCTTCAGGACCCAAAACGTTACAGAAACTTGGTACAAAAGTAACAGTAATTTCTAAATACACTATCATAAGAATGAGGTTGGGGAGATTTGTTTTTGAAACGAGTCTTTTATGCACAAAGGCTGCATTCATTTCATCAAAAAAGTAAAGTAGAATATTAGTAGTAATATTATTACAATTTTTAAAATAACTATTTCTGTTTTAATGTATTAAAATATAATTTATTCCTGTGTCAAAGCTGAATTTTTAGCATCATTACTTCAGTCTTCACTGTCACATGGTCCTTCAGAAATCATGTTGCTCCGGAAACATTTATTATTATTATTAATGTTGAAATATGGGGTACTGTAAAACTTCCTTGAATACTAATATGGAATGCGTTCATTACCAGGTCAAAGACTATCACTGTACAATGCGATGTAGTTAATTAAATATTCTCTTTGTGTATTTAAGAGGATATGTACACCTCGTACTACTCGGAGGCAGACTACCCTGTTACTAAGGTTTTGAGAGAACCAGTGTATGTGGAGGTGCGGATTCTGGAGAGGACTGATCCAAATCTCATCCTGGTCCTGGACCACTGCTGGACCACTTCAAATCCTGAATCCCTGAGCCTGCCTCAGTGGGACCTTGTGATAAATGGGTAAATCTGAATTCTTTCATATTTGCTCCACTTCTCTAATTTATCTAAGGAAACGTGGGCATTTAGTGTCAATGTGTTGACTTGATGCCAAAACAACTGAAACTGCCTCAATTATACAATGGTTTACATGTTCCGTTGTCTTATTACTCTTCATAGCTGTCCATATAAGGAAGACCCTCACCTGACCACAGTGCTTCCCGTTGCACAGTCTGGACTGCAGTACCCATCTCACTACAAACGTTTCGTTGTGAAGATGTTCACCTTTGTAGATCAGTCCTCGCTTGCACCTCAGCAGGAAAGGGTATGTACCGTCTTGCCCACCACATGTTCTCCTTGGCTCTCATTATCTTATTGTCCTCTGCCACGTCTATAACAGATTTTCATTCACTGCACTACGTCTGTTTGCCACCCCTCCACCACTGAGTCATGTGAGCCCAGCTGTGGCAGCAGGACAAGTGAGTGCACCTATAGAAGATTCTAGATGTTGTGGTTAATAATAATAATAATAATAATTAGTAATAACAAATATTTAATAATAAATATTTGCTATCATTAATATTATTAATTGAACATATTGGTTGTGTATTAATGTTAATATTTAGCTATTTTAATAAAAATGCATGCATTTTCAGTCATTTAATTATAATAACGTAACCCTTAAGAAATAATTCTTAATAATATTAATAACTGCTAAATTATTAAACAATTATTTTAAATACTTTAACATGTCATAATGACGTTGTTGTTGTTATTATTAAGACATATGTACTGGTAGTAGTAATAAAATAAATAATACAATTATTGTAATTAACAAATGTATTATTAGTTGTTGTTGTTGTTGTTGTTATTATTATTATGAAGAAATGTGTAATGGTAGTAATAAAATATAAATAAAAATGATGGTAATTATTAACAAATGTTGTTAGTAGTAGTTGTTGTTGTTGTTGTTGTTGTTATTATTATTATTATAATAAATTTATTAATACATTGGTTGTTGTGTATAAATTATTTTTAGTAATATTAATTTAAATAAACCACGAATGTAATTTATAATTTCACATTTAATGCATATTAATGACAAGTAGGGATGCACGATATATCGGCCACCATATCGCTAATGACAAGGATGATAACATAACAATAATGTTAAGTTATTAATTGGTTTAATTAAAATAAATCTACATACAATATCATCATCATTAAGAATTTTTTTTTCTTTTTTTAGGAAGGGCCATTTCAGAAGACTTGAAGGATTCTGAGGAAAAGGTTGTAGTTTCAAGTGGGGAGGTCATACTTGTACCCCATTTGCCAGTTTCTGATAATCTAGCAGATAAAGAAGGTATAAAAAAATCGATGTTATGTTTTTTTTATTTTATATTCATGCAGTGAACAACCCATGCAAACTAGCCTTAACCTGGAAATGTATGTCTTCTAGTCCCACAGATATTGGATTATGGATTATGGGCGGCAGGAGCGCTCACTGTGTTTGGTGTCTGTGGGCTTGTGGTGGCTGTTTTAATTCAGCGGGCCAAACCTCGCCCTCAGCCCGCTCCAGTGTGACATTAATAAAATGCCAAAAGAATGTGGCCTCTTGTGAAATCACTTGTATATCGATCAGATGAAGAATGGTTTATTTAAAAAAAAAAAAAAAAAAAAAAAATTGTATTGCTGAGACCTTACAATAGGCAAGTGTTTGACATTTTTAATATATATACAATGACAAATCAACCATGTATCAAAATACAGTAGAAAAAATGCCTTCAGGTGCCTTATGCAGTGATGTTTCCCTTCTCTTCTGCTTTTGGATGTTCCATTTCCATCAACATTAAAAACTCTACAGGGGGAAAAAACATGCATGTAATATTCATGCAAGTTTAATTTCTAACTTTAAAATTTCAGTTTTGAACACCAAGATATGTTCAGAATGAATACTTTATGTACCTACTAATGTGCTATATATATATACGGTACACTACCATTTAAACCACTGGATAAGATGTTGGTATGCGAAAAGAACATCCTGCAGTGTTTACCTTCTGTGTGGTCGATATCTGGACTTGTTGACATCAGAACCCAGGCCAGCCCGACCAGCAAAGTGACCACCAGGTTTACTATGATCCAGGGGTAAAGGATGCTGCGCTCTGAGCCCGGCTGCCTGAGAGGAGACACCACAACCGCTCGGCTCTTATTACTGTACAGCATTTACCCAGCATGCTCTAATGAGAGGGTCTTACCAGAGTGTCACATTATAGCTGGAGTACTGATTATAGAGATTGATGCGATCACTCGTCATCTGCTGGCTTAATGATAAAAC